AATCCAATACAATGAACAGCACAACCGATTCCAACGACGACTCAGTCATCACTTCAAACCCAATACCCGTTCAACACATGAACAGCTCTTCCAGCGAAACGAGTGTCACCTCTGGTTCTGTTGGGCAACACTCGCCGTACACACAGATAAAGATGCCGATGATTGTGGACATGAAGGCCTATATGCGAGTCCTAATACCGGATGAGTTCACATCGAGTATATCCGTCAAAACACTACCCGTTCGGCAAAATATGACCGCAAAAGAGATTTGCAAAATGATTGCTCACAAGATTAAGATCACAAACCCGGAAGACTTCGGTATCTTTCAAGTGAATAACGGCGAAGAGATTCAATTGAATGATTCAGATTTGCCACAAGTCATCAAATCGGAAGCCATGACCAGCGGTCGCGAGACTCAGTTCGCGTACAAACGCTTCGATGCAAAGTTTATTTGGCCTATAATTAAACATTAAGTCATTTCATATATAATTTTTAATTGTTTTTTAAACTCATTTTATATTAATATATGAATAAATAATTATTTATTAATAATTTCAATTGCAAATAATTATAGAAATTTTATATCAGATTTTTTATTAGATTACAGACTAAATATTTAAATACCTAATTGTCTAATCATTGATTAGTAATCAATTGTTTTTTGTATGCGTTTAGCATTAATTTTATACACCATCTCTTTTTCTATGTAAACTGGATTTTATTTACTACTTGTAAAACATACAGAATTATTGACATTAAAGTATAAATATATCAATTAAAATAAATTTAAACGAAATTTTGATTTAAATGTTTCATTAAAAATTGTTTTAATATTTGGATAAGAAATTCGATGAATTATAAAATTAAAATTCGTATTCAATAGTAATTTACAAAAATTGGATTAAAATGATTAAAAATAGATGAAATTAATTGCGAACTTTGACAATGAGTTCGTCGACCATATCAGACAATTGCTTATTTTCGTTACACTTCTGATCAAACTGTTTCTCCAGTGAACTGATCCTCATTTCGCACTTTTTCTGTTGAATCTTATAAGACATCAACTCATTCTCCAACTCTTTCTTACCGTTTTGTGAGCTAAACAATAAATAATTATTAAAAGGATATTAAATAATGATTTTATAAATAAAAAGCAAACCTCTGTTGCCTCTCAAGTGCCGCATATTTATCGTAAAGCTCTCGATAGTGTTTCTCCAATTCGTTAAACTTGTTATTCGTATTTAAATTTTGAGTCTTAAAAAATTCTTCGTTATCTTTTGCTACCTTTAAGTCAGCCATCAATTTATCACTATTTGCCTGCAATTGGTTGCACTTCTTCTGAACGGTTAGCATATCAACGATCGCTTTATTCTTCTCGTCAGCCATTGAATCGCAAGCGGACGCCGAGACGCGGACCAACTCTTCGTTAATATTATGATTATTCGTATTCAATAGTAATTTACAAAAATTGGATTAAAATGATTAAAAATAGATGAAATTAATTGCGAACTTTGACAATGAGTTCGTCGACCATATCAGACAATTGCTTATTTTCGTTACACTTCTGTTCAAACTGTTTCTCCAGTGAACTGATCCTCATTTCGCACTTTTTCTGTTGAATCTTATAAGACATCAACTCATTCTCCAACTCTTTCTTACCGTTTTGTGAACTAAACAATAAATAAATATTAAATGATTATTAAATAATGATTTTATAAATGAAAAGCAAACCTCTGTTGCCTCTCAAGTGCCGCATATTTATCGTAAAGTTCTCGATAGTGTTTCTCCAATTCGTTAAACTTGTTATTCGTATTTAAATTTTGACTCTTAAAAAATTCTTCGTTATCTTTTGCTACCTTTAAGTCAGCCATCAATTTATCACTGTTTGCCTGCAATTGGTTGCACTTCTTCTGAACGGTTAGCATATCAACGATCGCTTTATTCTTCTCGTCAGCCATTGAATCGCAAGCGGACGCCGAGACGCGGACCAACTCTTCGTTAATATTATGAT